AATTTAGTTGTCGAGATTTTCGCATTTTGCAAGCCTGTCGGACCCTGTGCAGCACTGTATGGGCTTAAAATCGCAAGAAGTTCCCAAAAACCCCGTTTTCTGGAAGGCCCCGCCGAAGCAACATGGACGAGTTGTGCCTTCCAACTTCAGCCTCAGCCACCGTGGCAGCAACAGAGGGGAGGTTTATGCCAAGTGCAGGGACATGTGCAAACGCGTAAGGGGGGAGACTGAAGGAGTCGCGCGTACCAACCCGCTCTCCGCGTACCACTTTGAGCGAATTTTTCTCAGCATGGAGGGGGTCAATTTGAGTGGGACTTGTTGCAATGGCCTATTTAGAGGTGCCTATAATAGAATATGTGAAGATCCGCGCGACCTCAAGTTTGGTGAGACACTGCCTTTAAGCAATGTAACTGCAATAACGCTTTCACTGTTTTTAAAAGTATGATAAAAACCATTCAAAACGTTGAAAAACTCGTAAAAAATCTTTTAGCGAAATTAGCATGTCTGAAAACGCTGCCACTCAACTTTCCAAATTATTTTGTAACTTTTTTTTACAAATGCCATTTCATGATGTGCTGTAGTAACCGGAAGCTCTTAGTTAATCCAACAGTAGTGAAGAGCTATGGACGATTCGCTCAGTTGTAAATTAGAGTTGAAGCTTGCTCTAATGAATGGCATTTGAGCTAAGCAAAAGGCTTTGTTGGAAGAGAGTTAGTAACAAATGAAAAGTGTGTATTTACTGTGTTGTATGTAGTGAGTAAATACATGCTTCTGGTAGTGGTTACGACCAGGGTCAAGCTTGTGATGCGACTATCGCAACGGGGGGTCGTAAAGAGACCTAAGGTGGGGAGGGGATGTAAGAGGTAGTTAAGCTGAAATACCCTAAGATCAAAAGAGAATCAAAAAGCAGATAATTAGCTATGTTCCTTACAATAAATCTCTGAAAAAGTGGAAATCAGAATGAAAAAGATAAAAAAATCTGTAGAAATTTTCAAAAAAACATACAAGAGCTCAAAACACTTTTGAAGGATGTATGACTTGATAAAAATGGTAAATGTACCAATTTCCCTAGAAATCTTGCTTCTGAAGCCCTCCTGAAGTTTCACACACTCGAAAAGCGAATATCTTTACCACTGTGACCATCATGAATTTCTAAATTTTTTTGTGATGTTTTTCACGGGTCCATATGATTTATATGTACTTTAGATAACCCCTGCTACTGCTGTGCGAAATCTGGTGTTAATTTATAAACTGTGAATTTTCTTATGATTTTATGGGTAGGAAAAAATCAGGAAAGGGGGGTCGTATCTGGGTCGCATCTAAATTTCTTCGAAGCTCTTGAAGCTTGTTGGCTGCAATTCTGCTGTAATATGAGGCCCTCCTCCTACTTTTCCTCACAAGAATTTCAGGCTGTTTTATAACTTCTCTGGTAAGCTACAAAATTTTAAGCTCAAAAATCCCAGTTTTTGCTTATTAGGATCGCATCTAAATTTGCGAGAGCCTATCTAGATTTTTTCGAGCTCACTGCTCCTCAAGGGCTGAAACTTTTTCCATGGATAATCTGGGCACTATACTACAGAACCTGTTTAATGCAGCCTCCCAGTCTTTTCCTGGCCTTAGTTACGAATTTTAAAACTACCGTGCTTAGGCACGTTTTTGACATCGTTCTTGGATGGCGCTAAAGCGGTTTTTTTTCGCAGGAAAAACTGTGCAAGAGGTAGAAAGTAAGCTTTTTAGTCGAGAACATCTTTTGTAGTTCAAGAATGCAATTTTTTTCTCCGTGCAAAAATTTGTTTTGCATACGGGAACCGAATTTGCTGGCCTGAAGTATGCTTGAAAATTCAAAAAAACTTGCAGAATTTCAAACACTATTGAAGTGCGTATGTGTGCTACAGATGCTGGGCGCACCCAACGGCCTAGAAATTCTGCTTCCGAAACCTCACTGAAGCTCTCACGCAGGTGTTTTTTTGATATTGACATTATTCGCTTATGCAGGTTACCGCCAGGAATGCGGGCAGGGGAGGTATGGGGGTAGATGGGAGGGGGTGTGGGTTGGGGGGTAGATGGGGCGGGGGGTCGTACGGATGGGTTCCTTCAAAGGGGGTCGCAATTGGGGGTCCCGGATCGCATCAACACGCTTGACCCTGGTTACAACTTGTCAAATAGATTCTCACTGAATTTGATGTGGTCGTAATTCCAGTGCTATGACATTAGCATCCCGCTTTTATCATTTCAGTTGCCATCTTCGCAGAAAGCGTAAGCCGTTAGCTTTAGGAACGAGTAAACCAAATTCAAGAAAATCTGCACCGGCATACAAGCCACTGAAGTTCTAGCCGCTCTAAAATCAAGAGCGAGTACGTGCATGCTGCGACAGTCGCACCTTTCACAGTTGAAGAAAATGAAAGGATTAACAGTTAAATCTTCGATAGTTTAGTCTCGTTTCGGTTCACGAATGCAAGGTGCTTTTTTAAGGTGAATTAGGAATAAACGACGACTTCTAAGGCAATGATAAGATTTTTCCAGAAGACTTCTAGAGCGCTCTGCACGAAATCCACCAAAAAATCAACAAAAGTGTTTATTAGTACTTGCTTGCATTTTATTCGTTCATGTCATCCCCAATTCATCTGGTTTATTGCCTAGCTGAGGTGCCTCATTTGCTCATCGTCTAGACACTAAGGCGAAAACTAACTACGTGCAGGCTTCAAATAGAAATCAAAATGATATTACACTTGGAAAACGCTGACAAAGCGCAGGAACGATGGGCCGAGGTCATGAGCATGCTAGAACAAAAAGATACCTGCAATTTTTGGAGAACATTTCCTTTTAGAATTTCAACAATTCCTCTTTGCCAAGTATACTGTCATGTGAAAGCTTATGAGGATGATATTCCGGGTTTACGTTTACGAAACCACATTGCTATAGATGAAAATGGTCAAAAAGTCATCATAAGGCAAGCAAATTTAGATCCTTGCGTCACAGCAACACCTTACAAAAGTCTAATTTCCGTTTGGATTTTTTATCGTAACTTCATAAGATGCCATCATAAAAAAATGACATGACATTACGTACTTTTGATCTGTCTTATCAATTTCGGAACTTATGTCTTACTGTAGTGTGGCTATCTCATTTATACTTTTGAGCTTATACCAGGGATATCCTCTACTGGTAAGCTAAGACAGTAGATCAGACAATATACCTGTCATTCCAAAAAGTTAGGTATGCTATTTTATGTTAAAACACATAAGACTGGTCTGCAAGCTATTATCTGAGTTTTTCTGCTGAATACCGTTGCTGCAGTTTTTCAGGAAAACCATATTTTAGGTGATAGGAATGTCGTGTCGATTTCATGTTACTAACTACCTTGAAGTCGTTACTTTAGATGCATTAACGCTCGAAGCTTCTTGTAGCACACTTTTTGTGCAGAAAATCGAAAATTGTGATCATCATGTCGAATAAACCTTATGCAAAGTTTTAGATCAAAAATTTTGATCCTCGTATGCCTTCCGTCATCTTCAAAAGCCCTACTTTGCGCAAAAATTATTTCGTGGTCAGCATGTCGAATATTTATCTAAATTTATAGCGGAACTCGTGATGTGAATTTTTGGTCATTAAGTGGCCCTAAAAGAACTTCTGGAGTGATCGAAATGCAATGAAAGTGCTCTGGTGCTTTGCAGCAATATCTTAGATTTCTATGGTCTAAGATTTACCTTTCCCGCTTTACTTCACAGAAGAGGAGAGAAGATCGAACATCAACAATATCTCAAAAGCATGCGCCGAACGCAAACCACTTTATAGTCGAAGAGAAAATCATAATATGCTAAGTTAGCCAATTACCAAATCAGTGCTTTTATCTCCCAGAATACTCTAGTTCCAAATTGGCATCCTCAACGATTAAAGTCCTTTTTTTGGTCTAGAGAACAAAATCGAACCTGGGTCCGAACTGGTCATAGCTGCGCCTCATATCTTAGGCCAATTACCCCACATTTGGACTCAAATAAGGCGAACTGACTTCATGCCGGCGTATTGAAATAATGGTTGAGTCATAATCTTACAAATTTTGTCTCCAACAAATCTGCAAAATTTTATGAGACAGCGTGCCAGAACCGCTGCCATCAGCTTTTTTTTGCTTCTACATCTTATGTCATAACCTACTATTTGGAGAGTGATTTGAAGTAGTCAAAGTCAAAATCTTAGTTAAATTAATTTGCATCAAATTCCTTGAAGATTTACGAACATGTCGCTCGGTGCTCTTTCAAATGTTTACGTAGAGGTAAAACGTACGGGTTAATTTGCGATGCATTCTGTGGAACTGACTGCATCACAATACTCATCTCGATTTTACACTCTCTTGTGACCATTCAGACGTGACTCGATTTTCATCTGCACAGTTCAACACTTTATTGCGACCAAATACATATGACCGTAAAATTCATCACAGTACATCAAGCACAAATTTTCTAACTGCATTTGTGAGAACCTACAGGTTTCAGCCATAAAGAACTATATCCCCAAGCCATGAGCATTCCTGCGAATACTCAAGCCCTGCATCTTACAAGAGAAGGATACCAAGTGTTGACAAATCGTGAAGGACGCGCCATATCATCAAAATCAGAGTAAAGAGCTGAATCTCAATCTACATTTCCTTTTGCTGAAAGGCTTCTGAAAACAGTCGCACGCGTTTGTAAGTGAAAAACTATACTATTTCTAGTGTAATTTGCTTCGAAGATCAGCCTCAGAGCGCTTGATTAGAATGGTAAGGAGTATGTTGCCTATGAGAAAGCACGATCACTGCAGATCTGGTAGCTATTTTTGATGCACTTGCAATTGCGCGATTGAGACTAAATACTCACAACATTCGTACTTATAAGCGCTCATTAATTTTTCCAACAAATCGCTTGAAAAAGGTGAAAGGCAAATTTAATATCAGCTTGAAATTACTGCCAATATAAATTTGTTACAATTGCTACTACGGTTTGGTATCCCTCCCTAGTAAGTAGCGCTTAAGTTTCGGTAAGCATTAGTCTGCAACCAGATTTGCTCATGCCCAAGATTGTTCTGTTGTGGGCATCCAGAATGCCGGCAACGTACAGGGTTTGCTTCACATCGGTTTCCACTTCGCCTGATGTCCGGTCGAAATTGTAGTAGTAGCGGCCGTACATAAATTTCTCGCGTATGGGCACTTGTCCACAGCAAATTCCTGCACAAGCACAGCGGCCGGTGAATGCGTATGCATCCAGGAAGGTGTACCCGGTCACGTTGTAGACATCACCAAAGTAGAGCCTGCGTTGACCTAAATACACATGATTATAACTACAACCTGTATATCTGCTATCCTCATCAAACATAAGTCGTGGAGATATTCACTAATTGTGACAGTATTATCGTAGTTTGTTGAGTTTTTATTAACACAGTAAACTCATCCGTTTCGTTAAAGTTCAAAAACATTCCAATCTGTTTTTTCCTTTGAATTCTTTCTCGCGGTCTAAAACGACAAGACTTCAAAAGTCAAAGGTGCCAAGGTTTAGCGAGGAGCTTGCGTCTTAGTTTGGTTTCTAAAGTATTTAAGCAATTTCTAACACTTACTTGCTCTTTGAAATACGGGAACAGAAACACATTCCGGATTTGGTGCCTTCGCAAACACAAGTCTAAATGAGTTCAAGTATTTCATTGTCATTTGAACAAAAATCTGATAAGTGGTCCTTTGCTGCAAATTTAAAACGCAGCGGTTTCTAAATCAGACAGTGTAATCGCTTTCCTCTTACAAGTCAGATGGAACGAGACATAAAATCTTGATCAGCTTTCAGAGTTTGCAAAGTGCAGCATCATATATTATCAACATCGGCATCTCGAACGCTTTGTAGCCAAAAAAGAAGTTTACCTTCTGATGAGACGTGCAGCATCTGGCATTTTTGAGATATCCTTTACGTAGAAATATGAGCCGCTCAAATCAATCATGTCTATGATGGTCAAGGACGCAGTTGTGTTCATTGCAAGTAGCTGCGCCTTCCTAGTGTCACTCTGGGTCACGGCCGGAACTGGGAGTTGTTGGAATTCCACATCTGGAGCAAGTGGCAAAGGTCGCTCGCATGTTGGTAGCACTAGTTGCCGATCAAGCGCAAATACATTGCCACGTCCAACCTGGTTGACTTCACCACTTTTGAAAATTGTGCACATCTTCTGGAACATAGGGAAAGTATTAGGTTGAACACTAAGTTTTGCAACTTTTCTCATAACATCCCTCTCACTCAACATGGCGCACTCAAATTTTGCCACTGAGTTGGTTATTACGTAAGCTACAAACGCAGCTGCTGTCCTACCAAATTCTGACGTCGCAGTGAGGGTTACGGTAGGTGCATGGTATGAAGGGGAAAAATTCAAAGTTTGACGGATTTGGCTGAAACTTGGCGTAGGGGTGTTATCCGACATGCTGATCACGAAAACGATAGTGAAATTGCATGATAAGGGCTTTTTTGTAGGATTATTGTAGGTGTACGATATGGGGTCTCACCCTAAACAAGGAAAAAGACGTTGATTCAACAAATGAAGGTGATATTCGCGTTTGCCAGGTCAAATAACCTTACTATGTAAAGTCTCGGCGGAATTTGAGCTTCGGACTCTTTGGTCATTGACGGTCGTCCCCAGCAGCTCTTGCGCACATCGACTCGTTCGACTTTATGAGGACGCCAAATCTCGACATGCCCATAAATTTTGTTTCTTTCTTGCTAGGCCAAAGGAGTCAACCTCTTGCAATAATTTGTAGACGAATCCGGATTACTGCGCATGGTCTAGGCTGCCAAAGGCTTCATTTTAGCTTGAAACCTCAAAAATTCTCAAATTTTACTAGTTTTCGAAAAATGCCTGAAACTTTTCTTTTTCGTGTTCAAAATTCAGACAATTTGTGCTCACTTGTAGCTCACATTGCATTCTACAGGATGCCAAAGTTTGAGTGCGCCATGTTGAATGAGAGTGAAGTTATGAAACAAGTTGCAAAACTTAGTGTTCAACCTAATATTTAGAAAAGGAGTGACTGAAGAGCGTAAGAAAAACTTTTCATGTTTTGTTCAAGACTATAACTGATAGTGATAGTTCTTGCCTCGTTGTACTGAACGAAAGTACAGAGAGATTCCTCGAAACATGTGCGGAGGCATACTTCCTCGCTTTCTTTCGGCAGCTCGTACGTGAAATTTGCAGTGAAATTACCTTGATAGGGTGTGAACGTATTTGTATTGGCTGTGTAGATCTGTAAAATGAGTACTTCTATTCTGTCCCTTCAATTTTGAGACTTGCATTTGAGTACATGCATGTGGCTGTAGATCAAGATTAAACCGAATTTCACTTGAGCGTGTTTGTTTCGTTTTGTTTTTATTGCAGTAAAAAAATTCCTGTTGTTGGTGGGCAATCCCTGTGGTCGCTCCCTCTTACTGGGAAGCGATCGCATTTGGCCCATTGTTGCTCATGTTACTGATAACATTAATCACAGTTAAAGGTACGATTTTCGTTTCTGCTTTCTGAAGTACGTAGTCCCATACTGCTTGGCTTTCCAGTGATTAGACAGTATCTTTCACTTTTGGGGTGGTTTTTCAAAGGCAGAGCAGAAACAAAAAACATTCACAGACTAGCAAAGAACATTTAAAAAAGCTGATTCTCTAGGCATTGCTCAATAAAATTCTTCAAGACCTAAACTGCTTTTTGTATTAGATCAATTGGGGCATTGCTAGTATGAAGATCTACTTGCACTTATTTTTATATAATAATCAAATCGATTTATGCAAAACTTAGAAAAGAGCAAGCAGTGCGTCAAAAGCAAGTTGGTTGAAGTATTTGAATAGCATTTGAGCGGAAAATCTTCTACTCATGAAATTTTTCTATAAAAAGCGAAGAGTTTCAGAGAAAAAGGAGTTTTTGAGGCATTAGCAATAACGGTGCAACTTTGTGGCACAATTCTCTTATATGCTGCTGTGGTTAACAAGGGCTTCTCTTGCTTTTTCGATCGCTTATAATGACGGAACTTTGATTTATCCCTATATGATGTCGGACCCTTAAAGGACTAAAACTTGGCTATCTTTGCACTATCTGCACTATATGGTACATTTTATCTTTTCTCAGCAACCCCTTATTGGATTAGACAACCATGAGATGTTTGTGACAAAATACCTGCATCGTCAGCATTGCAATGAAGATCACAGTGTTCTTCGCCGACATTTTCGGAAGCAGAAATAGTTTCACTAAAGTGCACAGAAGTTAGGTATTTTGAAAAACACACTGTTTTGAGAGGGTTACTCTCGGTGTGGTAAGGCATCTCTCTTCGTTAGGAGTGTTTGAGAAAATTTGAATGGTTTAAGAAGAAAGCAACAGGTGGTACCTATCCAGCTTAGGTTACTAAGGTAGTTGCCCAAGCCAGCTAGCTTCGAGAACGTTGTTTGAATGAAGACTCCACCTTCTCGTAGGTCTTATATATGAATCGTTGCTAGGGAGGATCTCTGGGGCGGATTTTTTAGGATCGGCGGATCCGCCCCTCTTTGTATCCATGGATCTGACCAATCAGAGGCGCAGAGCTACAGTACTCGAACACGCCCAATATTGCACAAGGGCTATTGGAGCAAGATGTAAAAAGGAAAACACCAGTATTTTGAATTTTTGGGGTTATTAACCAGTTAGAAAGGCTTTGCATATGCTGGGTTTCGATTACCCAACACAGTAGATGGAATCCTCAATTAATTTGTAATTTTGGGATAAGAAGTTGACTAAAAGTGTTAGTACCTAAAATTTTCGAGGAAACTTTCATGAAGACATCGGGCATTTTACAACCTGGCAAGTTGAGCGGTCGAAGCTACGACAAGATTTCATTGTACACTTTTTTGAAAAGTATAAATTCATTTTATAGCATAATGAAGTCTGCAAATATTATAGAGTACCACGATGATGCGCGATTGATCTCTGCTTGTGAGTTCGTTGTTTTAAAGAAAGAATGAAACCTTGGACATCTTTATTCACGCAATTGGCTATAACAGTGTATTTGTGCCTCAGCTGCTTATTTAGTCAGATTGGAAGGTACTGAAGGACGATATTGAAGCACATACGATTTGTATCTTAAAATGTTAAAGTCCGAATGTTTGACGCTATGGTCTCCTTACCATAAATTCTGAAGATTGAATCAACATTAGTGACTTTACTGAATTGCTATTCTAATTTATCAATAACTCAGCACTGAAAAAACATATGGCGCACTTAGATGATAAGAACATACAAAAAGGCTTGCTAGAAGACTACGATAGAATTGAAAGGCAATAATCTGATTTTTAGGGCACTTCTGGCTGCCACTACTCATGTAAAGACGCTTGTCTTTTTCAGCTGCAACGTTCTCCATTTCACTGTGTTCGCTTACCAAAAGAGGAGACCACAACTTGAAGTTTGGTGTGAATGACTTTCTGCATCCAGACTTTTCTCGTGATCATAGTCAGTAGTTTATAAGATTTCCAACAATCAACTAATTCTGAGCTTAACAAAACACCTTTTCAAAGCTTCGAAAGTGGTTTGCAGAACGCTGAATGCTGCGTTTACAGCGCTGTATATCAAATACCTAAATACAAAACGACTACTTTGAGAGGCTCAAAAAATGTGAAAAAGTATGCATTATTTGATGATAAGAATGACGTCACTCAATGCATTTTTTGTTACATTGTCATCTTTTTTTTAAATCAATATTTCTCTTATTTGGTTGCACCTCTGCTTTAACATAGCTCATTTTTACTGATATTTAAACCGATGCTATAGTATTACAATAAATCAGAACATGCAAAACTCTTATCCATTTATTTGTCAGCTGAGTCAAAACAACGTAAGCAGCTTCATCGGAGAAAAAAATTGGTAATGCTGCGCAAAATGGTCGACTGGTATCCTTACATCAGCCAAATCTGTTATGCTAAACTTACCAAAGGAATCAAGCAACTTCAACTTGACGAAAGATGATATAGTGCTATAGCCACTTTGGTATAATTGTGCTGGAACAAAGTAGCACAAGGTTTTATCAAATACTGAGGGAGAACGATAGAATAAGGGGTAAAAAACTGCTTTTTCTAGGAGTAAAAAAAGTGAAAAGAGATTATGGGGAAAAGAAATAAGATGTTTTCGATGGGGATGAGCACTGTGCCTAATTGTTTTCCTCCATTTTTCAGTGATTCAAAAACAATCAAATTGCGATATATTTAAAAACACACGTTAAAGATTGAGGAACTACGAATTTGCGGTTTTGATATCATGATAAGGGAGAGAAAAAAGCAGCTGTCTTGAAAGCAAGGTGAAAAGCTGTTCAGACATTTCCAAAATTTCCTACGTAAGTTGGAGCATGCATTTTGAAGAATAGATTCCTTGTCGATCTACGATAACTATTGCTGGCCATGCCTCCCATAAACTGTACTAATATTTTCAACGATATTATTTTGCACGATAGCGTCAATCTCTCCGGTAGGTGGACAATCGATGTTTAAAGATTATATTTGCACAAAATTTTATGAACGAGGGGTATCAGAATACAAATTACGACTATGGTCTAGGTAAGCCTAAAAAAGGTGTTTCTGTAAAACTGCGTTTGATATTTGCCATGTCCTGCCAATTTGATCATTCCAAATTGATACTTTGTTACACAATAGTTCATCAATTGTAATCAGTAGGCTGAAAACCCCTAGACAAACTTTTGAACGCATGTGGATTTGAAAAAGAAAAACATCCGAAAAGAAAGAAGGATATTAGGAGCGGGTTAGATCGCGGACTACACTAAATTCCATTAGGTTGTCAAAATTTTTGAAAGTCAAGCTGTTGTTTTCCTAAAGAACTTAGGTCACCATTCAACAGAAGAAGCAAGCTTTACAAAATGACCGCCAAAGCTCGCTCAAGTCGGTATAAGGTAAAATTTGAAGAGACTATCGAAAACATTTTATCAAATAGAAATTTTAGCAAAAAAGTCGTATGGACTTTCAACTTGGTCGTTCTCATGATTTCGATGACTTCATGCTAGAGCGAGAAAATAAGACACTATAATTCAGATATAAAATGTTCAAAATATGCGTAGCATTGTCTGACATCCACCCCTGCCCCTGTGTGGTTACCCATTGACATATGTGGAAGCTTGTATACATTCAGAGGATGGCAGAGGAAAATGTAAAAAGTAACAGCACTGCCATAGAAAT